AATAGGAATAGAACAAAAACTGAATTTTCAAAAGTTTCTTTACAATGCATTTCATAAGTTGATAAGTTATTGACAACGTATTTAATATTTGTTGAGATAAGAAAATATGTGTTCATCAAATTAATAAACAAATTTCTTACAATAACTAAATAATTGGCTGATCTTACCTGTAAGAATTATAGAATATAGTTGCCATTAAATCTTATGTTCTTAAACTCCATAAAGTCCATTAGTCAAATCAAATATTTTAAATATGTAATATAACAGATAGCTATCGCGAATTGCAAGTTTGACTCCGGCAGAGGGAACATTGTTTTTTTAATGTAATTTAAATAATTGTACAGAAATCGAATGCTTAGCGTGAGCTGAATTTGGTGTTGATAGTAGACGGTTCAGGGTATCCCCTAGTCGGGCACTCTCGACTGGGGCACACTTAATTGATATCATTTGGATATCTTTAAAAATTAGCATCAGTTTAACAGACCTTTCACATTTCGAGACAAAACTATTAAAATGGCTGTGTGTTCAAATAATTCATACGAATAAATTCTCTGTTGATATATTTATTGTAAAGTTAGTTTTTGAATTATAATTAACACCTAGGGTTAGCAGTTATTTATCTATTTAAAAAAATTTTTTTTAGCTAGATTTTCAAAGCGGTTGCTCGAACACGGATCCTTTACAAGGAACTGACTTGGGTGGCTATTTTTGCTTCCCAGAGATATGCCACAATACTGCCCAGTCTTGGCATACCATATTTGATATATATGATATGGTATGAACTTTGAGGAATTAAATGTACCGACTCTTGGCAGCTTGTCAGATGACTTGCGACAGCGGGATTTATGTTGGTTCACTTTATTGTATAATTCTAAACACGCACACACAAAGCTCACACACGTATTTGCCCAACTGCACAATTCATCAATAAAGTCGCCTCGGAATACAATGCTAATCTCAGGCTTTGAGTTAACGTTCGTGTCCCTGTCCAGTTGCACATATCCATTCGAGATGTCTCAATTGTTCACATGTTGTCCTCTTGCCCGAGCCCACCTTTAGAGATACCGCAAGGCACAAACGAGAGCTAGGTGGAAGTGAAAGAAGAAGCAGCCGTAGCTGACTCCTAGTTTATGTAGAGCAGAAAAAAATCTCAGCTGCAAATGACTTGTATGCCATTGAGATAAACCCAAATTTATTTATTTTTGCCATAAACTCGCAAAAGGACTTTTGGCTTGCCATTGTTTGCTAGTCGCATGTGTGTACGTGTGTAGGTGTGTGTGTGTGTGTTGTTGGCATTTTGTATTTGTATTTGTATTTGAGCTTTCAACAGCGACAACAACAGCAACAGCAACAATGGACGTTGCCAACTAACTACAATTCCGTAGGCAATTAATTTAGCTGAAAAAGCCAAAAATACAAAACACACTCACACATGCACACATGCACACACACACACACACGTGGCAAAAATATAAAATGGCGCAGGAGCGGCGCAGTTGCTGACGTCGTCGTCAGAAAAAACCAGCAACAGCAGCAGAAGCAGCGAAAAATAAAAGAAAACTTGAATGGAAATTCAATTGAGTGACATGAAAATGGAATTTTTCATATTTTGCTGCTGCTGCTGCTGATGTTGAGGCTGTTGTTGCTGCTGCACAGCAACTGCTGCTGCTGCTGCTGCTGCGGCAGAGGCAGAGGCAGAGGCAAAGAGAAGCGAAACGTTTTGGCTGCCAGGCACATCACAAACACAATTTGCTGTTGTTGCTGCTGCTGCTGCTGCTGTTAGCCGCAATAATAGTAAAAACAACAACAATAAGCTAGCAGCAGCAACAACAACAACAACAGCAGCAATTCGCTCAGACTCTCTTTCTCTTACACTTCCTCTCCCTTTCTCTCTCTCTCTCGCTCGCTCTGTGCTTTCCCCCCAAAAAAACGTTTGCGTCTGACATTTTCATAATTAGGTATTCAAAATCTTTAATAACGGTTACTCTTGCTGCCGCTGTTGCTGCCAGTTGCCATTGCTGCTGTCGCTGCTGCTGCTGATGCTGCTGCTGTAGTTGTTGTTGTAGCTCAAGCTGTTGCTCAACCCACACTCACACATACACACACTCACTCACACACGCATCCACATCTTACTTAAACGTTTTTTGTTGTCCTTGCATTTAGTTTTGTTTCTTGTTGTTGCCACAAGTTTTTTGTGTCTGTGGGGCACAACTCGCAGCAGCATCGAAATGTTGCCTGATGCTTTTTGGCCAACTGGGTTCTGGTTAACCGAACGTCTGTCTATCGCAACTGGCAGCTGATTGGGCAAGGCGCAGTCAGCCGAATGTGAATCGCCTTTGTATATTGCAGCTAGTTGACAGCTTCGATTTTGTAGCCACACTGAAACACTGTCAAAATGTTCTAAGCACGATTAGGCCATTCAGATAAGCCATTCTGGCTTATCTTTGCCAAAACTAAAATATACTTTGTTTTGTTATTATTGAGATCTCGTAAGTAAAAAATGTCTACCTGTTTGTTAGATCAGTTAACTCCTCCAGGACTATGTGGAGAAACTATTCTTTCGCAGATAACCGAGAAGGGAATAGTGAAAGAGGGAAATAGAAAGGGCTATGGCTAAAACCGAGTACTAGTAGATTGTTCCTACCTGGTCTTTAATCTTAAATAGTAGATTATTTATCACTGATAGGCAAAATCTTCAGATATCAAGAACTATTCTTAAGTTTTATCTGTAAGCTTGTATTTTAGTTAATTTGTAGGATTACGTCTTATAAACAAAATCACATTATAGTTCATTCGACACCAGCTCGGAAAAGTTTTCACTTTGAAAATATTCTCCAGGCAAGTTGCACCTTTTGGGAATTTTAACGCGCACAATTTCTATCAACCTTTGTACCTAATCAAAATGTTTATCATTTCGTTAAATCATTCATTTCAATTGCTTCTTGAACTACAATCGAAGGTAAATCCCAGATTTTATTTACACATTTAATCTTATCTACGATTAAACTTTTCTGCGAATTTTATAGCTGAACTAAATTAAAATTTAAATAAAAACCAAGAGCAAGTAGTGTATCTGAGAAAAGCGGCGCTCATTAGGCGAATAAATATGAATGCTGTCCGTTTGTAAGATCCAAGCGAAAGGAGCTGAGAAAAATTCTGCCTGGTTTTGGCCTTGTCAAATACTTTGCTTTGTCCGCACTTCAGTTGCCGTCAGCGGCAGCAGCAGCAGCAGCATCCGAAGAAGCGGCCACATTCATGACAGCCATCTCAACGTTTCCCTTTTAACATCAAGGAGCACAAAACAAACAGCGTGTCCGAGCCTGGACGGCTCCTGGCTCGAGCTGGTTAAAGGATACGACAACTTCAGCGCCTGTCACTGACGGTGACAATTTTTGCGCGTCTTCTTGGACAGGCCAACCGCTGTGCTATGCTGCACAGGACATTGGCTACTTGTAATACTGAGTCCTGTCATTGCAATTGTTATTTAAATAAAATTGTTTAGCCTGAAATCATTTTAGGCATTGTAAGAGAAGAGGGCGGTTGCGAGTTCCAATCCCAAGCTTGACTTAAATCTGTGCTGCGATTATTGGATACAATAATATATATTCCAATACACAATACATATATAATGTTAAAAGAGCTTGTAGTTTCCACTGATTCGAAGTATTTCATTCTTCGTTTCTTTATCAATTTTAAGATTTAATCATTTTTTAATCGCTAATTAAATAATGTCATATGACTTTATTCGTTATTATTATTTGATCAGCGCAAGTCAGTTATTGTTAGTTATGGAAGATTATCGCTAAAGATACGCATTAAATATGCAGATAATAACAGTTCTTATCACACGACCTGAGCATATTTGTATGCGAGCCTGCCGTTAATCTTTTGTACTTGAACGTGTGTACATGCCATTAGTCATGGGGCCCAATCTTGGACTTTTCCACTTGACTGCCACTTGAATTCCGAGCAGTAACCGCAAGCGTTATTAATTCAGAAGTGTGTTATTTAGGATCGGTCTTCACAGATAAAAACCGGGAAATACATTTCAATCATGAACCGATTTGAAATTTTTTATTGTTAATGAATTTCCCACTTTCATATCGATAAAACCTACTGATGACATAATACCAGACTTTCCGACTGCCTTGACAAGCAGCGATTTGCCGAAACTTAGCTCCATTTCGAAAAATCTAATTAGACAATATATCAGACATTAACCCACAATCGATAACAGGCGTTTCGGGAAAAATATTAGATAAGCGCTTATTGATTTATAATCTGATTGCTTATATCGGAACCAAACAGTAAAATTTTGCCGCTTTCACTACCCAGTTAAAATATCATAAGAGAATAATTATATAGAATTATCTTTATGGTATTGTTTATATTATAATACTGAGAAAAAACTTCCTCGACACTTAATCCTATATTTTTCCCTATTTTAAAATTTTAAGGATTATTTTTAATTAAAAAAATAAAAGTTCTGCTCGAGTACAAAATTTACTCAAGTCAAGAAAACAATACATTAGCAAAATATACAAAGAATTAAAAAACAAACAAAAAATATAACTCGAAGCAAAATAAATAACATTTACTTAAAAAATATAAATTTTTTACAAAATTTGAATGTATTAAAAAAATATTAACATATATAAAGATAAAGTAATATAATAATAAAAAATATTATTCACGACAAAATAAAATATATTTTCCTAAATATTATCAATAAACTAATAAAAATATTTAAGTTAACGAATTAAAATAATACATTTTAATTTCAAGATATATATTGTTAAGAAACGAAACGAAAATTAATTGATATAATTATATTAGCAATATTTAAAAACTATAAATGTATAAAAGAGTTTGCTGATTTCTTTAAGTGTATATATGTATGTATATGGCATACGGAAGAGCAAAAAAATACCAATAAATTGGCAAAATGATAAGCGATTGTAAGGTAAATTAGTTTGGTATTTAAGTCGCTTGTATTACTCACACTGATCAGTTGCTTAACGGATTCGGAGTAGTGCTCATGCTTGGTATGGATCGTCAAATTGTTATAGTGCTGCTGTTGCTGGGTTGCGCCATGCACAGCGTTTGGTCGCAGACAACGGAGATCCCGGAGACAACGGAGACAACGGATGCAACGGAGACGACGGAGAGTCCCAACTTTTCGTGCTTCACCTATGAAGGAACCGAAGTCGATCTGGAAGGTGTAAGTTGAGCCCACAGGCCCGTTTTCGACGGCAGTACCCATTTAATACCCTTCCCATGCACAGCTCTCGGGCTATTGGTTTGAGGTGGCGCGTGCCCCGGATGTGGATGACATGCAGTGCGTGAATTACGAGCTGCCAGCCAGTCCCAACGAGAACAATATGCTGGAGCTACAAGTGGAGTACGTGGACACCACCAATGGCCAATGGGAGTCGGCCTCGGAGTCTGGCTCATTGGCCTGGGACGACAATGCCAAGAATGGCATCTTCACCTGGTCCAGTGGGGAAGTGCCGGTCACCTACAAGCTGGTCAGCACGGATAAGACCACTTACGCCTTTCTCTGCGGCTACATGGGCATCGCACCCGTGCCGATCTTCAAGGTGTGGACACGCCATCGAAATCTGAGCGTCGATGAAATGCTAATCATCCAGCAAAAGTTCGTCGATATTGGACAAGTCGAACAGCTCGCCTGGGTGGAGCAATCGCTGGAGAAGTGCAACAATTCCGCCATGCGCACGGCCGGAGGTGCACTTGTCGCCTTCGCATTGGTGCTTATTCTTAGAAATATTTAAGATGTTAGTGAAGAAGATTGTGTAAATTTTTCATAGTACAATTAACCTACATAATAGGATAAACCGCAAGATTGAAGTTCGACTAATTTAAAATAAGGAAATTAAAATGAACGGAAGGATTTTGAATTCAATATTAATTTAAATGGATGCTTGATTTTTTTTTTAAAATTATTTATGCAATTTCTATGCATCCTTCTATATCAATTTTGCTAGTACTTAGCGGCTTTATTCTTCATATAGTTTTTGTCCATGAATATATATATATTTATATATGTACATATGTAAATATATAATTAATTGTATTCACAAATAATTTAACAAAATTTCCAGTTGCTGGCTTTGATTCATTTTTGATAATCGGGGTGAATTTAAACGATCTTCCTATTAAATTTATATTAATTTATTGTCGATATATAATTTGTGCTGATCCCAGATTGATTCTCCATATCAGATCTTACCGATCTACTTCTTTGTCATGTTGAATTAAATTGAAAAACTTTTTAAAAAACAGGATTTTCGTTCAGATCACATGTCTATAATTATTAGTAAGATGTCTGCAAAGGTACTTTAAGGAATTATGATTAAACAAGTCAATAAGAATTCATTTCTGGGTACACTATATGTCTAGGTATAAATTATGGTGGATAGAGTAATCTAATCGTAATCTTATGAATGAATAAAGTTTCTATCAGTTTTTATTTTAATTAGAGATAGAGATGGAGAAAGAGAGCTTTGAATATGCTTAATGGGAATAATAGAGCTATTTTTAATAGCTAAGAAATTCTTTTTCTCAAACACTCAAATAAAAATATATAGGAATAGCGAGAAATTCTACATTGTTGGTGTATCAAAAACATGAGAAACTAGATAAAGCAGACTTTATACAACTAAATGTTCTACCTTTCCCAACTATACCTACTATATATGTTATATACTACCCACTATATATGAACTTTATACTATACCTATTGATCCTCAAGGTTAACTTCCTTACCTGCACCATTCTAAGGCTCATCGATCCAACTTTGCCTGTTATAAATTGTATATGTGAGTTTTATGTACATTTATAAATGTTGTCAACAAATGTCAAATTCCATTTTTGGTTAATTCAATTCCGCCTGACGCAATACGCCATGACGATGACGCTGACCAACTATTTTTGGGATGCCACAGGTGGAAGCCGCCAACATGACTACCCCGTTGCTTGCCTGTCTGTGTGTGTCTATTTGTGTGTGTGTGTGTGTGAGCTTGTGGCCATAAACAAATTGACGCCCAAACTCTGACGCTGCGCCCCGCTCATCATCGTTGGCGTCGTTTGCACGGCTGAGGGGGCAGAGGAAGTGTTATCTGCTCGCACTCAGTTGCCAGTTGCCAGTTGCCGCTTCCCACTGCGCCAGCTTATTATCAAAAGTCAGTCAATGCCGCGTCATACACACACACACACACACAGACATACTCTGGGCAAACAGCTTCATTTTGACCTGCTGCCCTAAAAGGGGGTGCACACGAGTGGGTGGCGATTTGTTGGCTGGTCTTATGGCTGGGGTGTCTTTTGGTGGGTGGCACGAGCTCGAGTTCGGTTTGCTGAATCGGCGCTGAGTAAACAATTTCTTTATCGTCACGATACACGCCGCAGTCAGATAAATGCGTGCTGCCTGTTTGGCAGTGTGGCAGTGTGGCAGGGGCAGGGGCAGGGGCAGGGGAGTGGCAGCAACTGTCATACATTGTTATTTAAAATACAAAAAAATTAATAATTCAATTATGCATCAACATTTGCAACACTGGCCATGTGGCCTGTCTCCCTCACACGCTCTCGACTGCTCGACTGCTCGATTCTCGGCCTGGCCACAGCTGTGCGTATGTTTGTGTGGCAGCCAAATTGCCGTGATTTCATTCAATTTGTCGCAGCGGCAGCAGCAGCGGCAGCGGCAGCAACAAATGTTGCCACTTGCTGCCCAAATTGTTTTCATTTGGGAGATTGAAAGCAACCACCCACGCAGCTTGTGCAAAATGCGCATACAAAAAAAATACAAAAAAAAAAGAATAGAAAGAAAGAAAAGTATTATGCTGTGTCCAACACCCACTGTGGCACACCTCCTGCCCGTCCACCCATTGGGAACGTCAGCTGGCGCTCTGTGTGCCAATGCACAATTGTTGTTTGTATGAGAAAATCTCGCCTAATGGCGTTTTACATTATTTGCCGCCTGATGCCGGCGTCGCTGCCACAGCCAACTGCTGCCAAGTGCCAATGCCAGAGCTGGAGACGGAGACGGAGTCCCAGTCAGAGCTGGCAGACATAGACGTGGACGCAGACGGAAACCGAGAGCCATATACCCATAGCCGTAGTTGTAACAGCAGTTGCCAGGCTGTTGCCTAGATTTCTGCCTCTTTCACTCGTTGCGCCAAAGTTTGTGGTTAGGGTGCTTCGGTTTTCGCTTGTGGCAAGTTCTGTGCAACTGTGGCCGATTGGGTGGTGGGTGATGGGTGGTGGGTGGTGAATGGTGGATTGTTGGGGTTATGGACAGCATTCTGGCCAAGCAGCCGTAAGATGAATGGCCACTTATTGCCCAAGCTGGTTGTGCTCGAGTCCTGATGGTCAATTCTGATAGCCATTGTTGTGATATTGAAATGTTACGGCAACTGCAGGCAAATTTAGATTGATCGATAGATAACTAGGTAGTTCCAGCAGCTGAGACTTGAGTTGGTATAGCGCAACAGGTATTAACCTAAAGTGATTAGGAACTAAAACCAATTGGTTCCGAGCAGAGAGTAGAGCATTACGAGGAAATTAATCCTAATTTAAGTACACTTTATAATGGAGGGTGGCATAAATAATATCATGAGTTTATTTATCTTGCCTTTATTTATACTTAGATTCCTTTACTTCCTAATTATTCCCCACTTTTTCTGCATGCTTCCAGCATAATATTTAAGAATCCATAATTTAGAAGACTAGGAATCCTTTTTATAATGGAGTCGGTGGCGGATGAGTTTCTTATGTCATTTAGACAGTTGCGCAATGGGGATCTGGCCTAGGTGAAGGCTTTTATAATCTAATTGTTTATAACTTATCCCTTACTTAGACTATTTACAATACCTTCAACCTGCAACCTATATTTTTTTTATATGATAAAACCTGATTTAACCGTTTTCTTGGGCTGAAAATATATACATTCTTTATATAATTTAGGGTACATATGTATATCAAAACATTAATACATTTACATATATTAATTTATGTATATGTAAGACAAATTAAAACAAAAGTTTTCTGGGCTTCTCGACAATATATACATTTTTTATAAAAATAATTATAAATATAATTTATAAAAAAAAAATATCCTTTTGCTCCATAAATTATAATTAATTATTAATTATTAACACATATTAATATATATATACATAACATAACACATATGAAATCGTGTTGTCAGTAAAAATATCAAAGGATATTTTATGATAACATATTAGATATAAATCCGTTATCGTATTTATATTCTAAGACCTAGAAGACAAACGACCTCTAAGTAAACAGTTTTGTTGGAAATCCTTATCCCAAAACTGTCCTCGGGGGCTTGAGTCCACACACATCTTTACAACTTTACACACACACACTCTCCGCTGTGGTCCATTCTTGATTGTAAGCGCATTCCCATGTCGCACATAATCCATCGCAGCTGGAGAAGATGACGAATCCCAAATCCCCTTTACCGAAAACGAAATCGCCTTTAATTTGCTCGCTCATTTCGGGGCTCAGCTTGTGCTCTGCGCTGTGGGCTTACCGCAGGAGAAGGGGTAGGGTATTCAGTGGGTGTGGAGGGGGTGGATTGCGTCTATAGCTTATGTGTTGTGTGTGTGTGTGTGGATCTAAGCATTTGACATGGTGTGAACACGCGCATAAGGCCATTTCAATGGTGTTCAAATGCCCGACAAATGGCGGGGGGTGTTTTGGTGCTGTTCCCGGAGCGAGGCTGTGGTGTGTGTGTGGAGGGGAGGGGGAGCGCTCCATCTGACTTTCATGTGTGGGCGTGCGTGTGTGTGTGTGCACAATTGGTTGGCAATTTATTTAAATATCGGCACGCAGTTGGAAACGCAATGCCAACTGGAATTTCATGCCAAGTGAAACACATTGCAGCGAAAATAAAACGAAACAACAGCAACAACAACAACAACAACTGAGAAATTTCGGCTGCCAAGCAAGCTGCCAAAAAGGAATTTTTCAGCTGCCGCCGGCAGTGGCAGCGCGACAGCAACAGCGACAGCGAAAGAAGCGAAGGAGGGAGGCTGCGACAGCGACAGCGACAGCAACAGCAGCTGATGTTAATAGCCCAGCGGGGCCAAATACCGGCTGCTGCCATGCGAAGCGAAAGAGGAGAAGAAGTGCAGACTGCGACGATGTCTGGGCAGGCAGTTGTTGCTGTTGTTGCTGTTGTTGTTGTTCGCGCGCCTGGCCCTCTGATAAGCCAATGGCATAGGGTTGGGGTTGGCGTGAGTGTGTGTGCGTGTGCATGTGCGTGTGAGCAGCTGAACAGCTGTTTCTGACGCGAACATCAACTGCGCCGGCGCCTTGCAAACTGCAGGCGAACGCAGCCGAGTCAAGACACGAAGCTGCACAGCGACGAAACGAACGACGAAAACGAAACATGTGCCGGACTACCTGAGCAAGTTGAAACTGAAACGTCGCTCACAAACAAATTCAACTTTCAACTGAGCAGACGTCACGCAGCAGCAGCAGCAGCAGCAGCAACAGAAGCAGCAGCAGCAACAGCAGCCGCAGTCGCAGCACACAGAGGCAGCGTTTCTCTCAGTTTCGTCTTGTGTGTGATATTTGGGATTCGGCATTCCATAGCCGCCATTCCCATCGCGTGGCTTCAGTCGTTTGGCATTGGCCCGACATGCCGGTACAAGCGTCGCATCTCCGCATTCGTACTCGTCTACAATTGTTGTTGTTCGCGTCGCGTCAACAACATCAACAAATAAATGGAAAATAAATAATCAGAATATGTGCAAGTAAATTTAGTGTGGCGGCTTGCGATTTGTTCAATATTGGTTGCTAGTCAAATAACGCCCATTGCAGGCGACGCGCGCGCGTTTTTTAGTGGGTGTCAACACCAAATGTATCTCAAAGATACGAAAACA